ACTTGGACAGAGGTGTTTCTCCTGTTCCCAATCTTTATGCTAAGCTAAGCACTTAGTGTATTTCCTAATTGTCAGACTAATCCTTTAAGGGTGAATAGGACTTACAAATGACTTGTTATTAAAATTGTTTTTTGTTTTTCGCAGTGCAGTCTGACCACATACCTTTACCTACAAATTACACCCTACAAACTTGCTTTTCTTTCCTGATTTCGTAATTCTCAGATTCTCTCAGAAGTCTCATTTTACACTGTAATCTCCCTCTCTCTGCTTTCTGTTTCTCTTTTTTCCCTTTTTGTTTCTCTTTGTTTCTCTCTCAGGTGACAGGAACAGTGTTGGCAGTGCTGGCAGTGTGGGCAGCAGCCGCAGCGCTGGTAGCGGCCAGAGCTCAGAGAGTAGCCACAAACAGAATGGGACTCGCCACAATACTGAAACTGGCAAGGTTAGATCTGCTTAGAAAGAGCAATGACATTACATTCAAATTGTATGTAGGATCATTAAAAACTTTACCAAGTCTTCCAATGCAGTTTATAAAGTACCTATTTAAGATATCTTAAAACATGTCAGAATACAGCAGCTTTCTGCTCACACACATTGCCATTCTATCTTTCTTGTTTCATTTTAATACAAGGTTATCTGAGTTGCTATGGTGCATATTGTCTGCAGTGCATCTCAGTAATTCAAGACATTCAGAGGTGTTCCTCAGTGCGTACTTATTCATGTTTTTTGTGTGCAGCTGGGTCCCTCTGCTGGTGAATCAGGAGACCATCTCCACATTGCAGCAGCAGACCACAGCAAACAGGCAGACGGAACCACAGGTTAGTCGGGGAATAGAACATTGTACGTGTTCTTCCTGGGTTTACTAATATTACCTAAATTCTAATAGTAAGTTTTCTCTTTATGTCTGCTGCTTCCTATGAAAAACAATCCAAGATTTTGAGTAAAAAGTTGAGAAAGTCATAATATTATGAGAATAAAGTCAGTATCACAATAAAATACTGGTTTGAGAACAACTTAGGTTATATGTTATGATCACTCAGCATTATAACTCTGCAACAGGTGCCTGTTAGCCATGTTGGTAACTGTCTTATCACATCCATTGAAAAGGTCACGATAGCAGCTTTGAGCTGCACATTTCAAAGGGCTGGAAGGCATTGGTTGGTTTACTTTCCCACCTCCTCAGATAAAGTGCAGCACACAACAGCCATCTCATCCACAGACACTCCCTCAGTAGCTTCTGGCTTCTCCCTTTCATATCAATTCCAGAGAGTCATGAAGCTTTAATCCTGTTCTGATGCCACAAGCTTGGCTTTTGATCTCTGCACTCTTTGACTCAACTGTCTAAAAAAAAAAAAACCTCCCTGCTGTGCTTTAGCTGCAAAACAGGTCCAGTTATGTACATTACGTAATTTATTTCATATATCCTAAAATGCTCAGAAGATGCTTCGTTATCAATTCTGGTCATCTGGTCACACCCCTTATTTGACACATAAAAGGTGACCAACTGCTTTCACCTGTTTTCTCATCTGTTGACAAAGCGATCAAATCTCTTAAATTGTTGTTTTTAATTTCTAACATAATGCCCTCATCTGGTAAATGTTTGACTTGATATACAGGATGATTACAGGTTTTTCTTTTAAAAATGTTACTTTATTTTGAAAAAGTATTACAGACTTTTTAGTATTGTTAAGTATTGCAGATTTCTTTGTCTTTTTTAAATATTACAAATTTTATTGAATGTTTTGACTTTTTATCATATGTTTAACTTTATTCTCAAAGTATTACAGATTTTCTCATTATATTATGACTTTTTCTAAATATTCCAACATATTTCTAATAACTTTTTTCTTAAAATATTTGTACTTAAATCTTGGATGTTTTGTCCTAAACCGAGTCCTAATAATCTGTCATACTTGTCATTTTTATTTTGGGTTATTCAAATGTTTTTGCTCAGTCTTGAAATCCTGCCAGTGCAAGAAAACCAAGCCAGAGAGCAAACCTAACTAAAATCAGGTTATTTGCCAGGTATATAGCTTTGTAAACAGCATCAAAGCCCTAGATACCACTACTGTAATACTGTAAACATGGTTGTACCTACTTATACCAGAGGAATGCGATTAAAGACAAACGTAGCATTAGTGCTTTTGTTCTGCAGATTGAGCTGTTATTGCGGTCGGTCTGAAAGGAAATGAGATTGAAGGAGAGAGAAAAGGCTTGCCTCACCTCACCACAAAAACCAATAAAACCACAATCTACTCTCAACCACACAGCCCATAAAAACACCCGATCAGCTCTCAGGAAACACTAAAGGCAGGAATGATGTGTCTTTGTGCGCGCACGCCATTAGATCTGACCGACAGGTGCAGAAATATCATAGGAAAGTGCACATGGATACATATTCTCTGGACCTAAGCTTTCTCTACTGGGGAGGCTCTTTAAAAAGGTCAACGAGTGACATGTTAGAAGAAGCAGAGGATCTCTGTTGACCTCAGGCTGAATAGGAAGCAGGGTTAAAGTGAAGAAATGAGGAATGGGAGGGAGGGGTCAGAGGGAGGAGACAGGAACAGAGAGAGCAAAACATATTTGTTAAATGAAGGAGAAAGACGAGGAGGGAGAACAGATCAGTTGACTTGAAGAAATGTCCGCTCTGCATAAAGGATAAACAGAAGGAAGGATGAAGTGCCAAACATCAGGTGCTCTGCCGCTCTCGTTTCTCCTGAAGGGTAAGAAGTCATATATGGATTTGATGTTTTGTCTCGGATCAAGCATTTATTCATATTTTAGGTCATATCTTTCGCTAGATTCAGTTGTTAAATGTGACCAGAGGAATCTACTCACCTTTATTTATTGAGATTTTGATGTGGAGGCAGTGAGACATATAAATAAAGCCAGAGAAAATGCTCCTGATTGATACTGTTCAATCAAATAATTCTTCCCTCCTGTTATTGGGGTGCAGAGAACCAAAAGTAAAGTCAATGGAGTTTTGACTCTTGCCCTGAGGCCAAATACCTCTCCATTAGGTGCTGTCTTTTTCTCTAGGGAAAGCAGGGCCCCTGACCGTCAACACAGAAGAGAAATATAGTGCTCCAAAAAAAAACAGCCAATGAAAAATACAGAAAGAAAAGCAGCACAGAAGTGGAATGATTGAGGGCTAAAAAAAACTCTGGGGTTCTTTGCTAAACTCTCAGATTAACCAACAAACACGAACTTCAGCCAACTTCAACCAATCAGAACAACAAACCAAATCAAAAAATATGCCAAAAAACATGTTATTTTTACTCTTAGACACAACATTGTGAGCCGTAGACATGTTGGTAGGTGTATCTAGTGAAGAAAACTCCTCGCGCACAGCCAGTAACAGTCAGATGCTGGTGGTTTGCAGGGCTTTCTAGGTAAAGATCAAATTGAACAACCACACAGAACTTTGGACAGAAACAGGCTAACTGTGTTTCCTCCCTGCTTTCAGTCTTTATGCTAAGCTAAGCTTCCTGGCTCAAATTGTGTATTTAATATATAGACATGAGAGTATCAATCTTCTCATGTAACAGAAAGAAAGCAAATAAGTGTAAACCCCAAATGATGACTTATGTCTTTAATCAAGCACCTTGGGCTAAAAATATCCATTGGCTTTTAAATCTCTCCTCTAAGTGTACAAAAGATCAGATTATCTGACAGACCTCTAGTCATAGTCATCAATAGTAATATTAAAGTATTTCTGATTCTGATTCTGATTCTGATATCCAGCCATGCAAAGTAGGTTTCAGTATTGTATTAAGGTGGAGGCAGAAATCTCAGAGAAAGATATCTCTAACTGGACTAATAAAACCAAAATGTGCATGGCAAGATACCACTAAAGAGTTACCGTTTTATTGATTATAACCGTTTTTGGGTGAAACTTGACCTTAAAAAAAACTAACATACTCTTTTGATGCTATCATCTTGATCTTGACCTCGTCTTGGACCAGTTGCTGGTCTATCTTCCACCACTTGCTCTAACTTCACAAAGTGTATGCGTGTTTAGAAAGGTGCTTTATGAATAAGGGTTATAGCAAACTGATAATTAAAAGGTAGATGGATCCTGTCAGGAAGGATGACAGAAAGAGCAGAAAGAAAGCGAGGGAGTGATCAGAAGCGCTGGCCTCGGGCGAAAGAGAGGTGACGATGGAGAAAATGGGAGGAAAGGTGCATTCCTCAGAGATCTGTGGTAATGTGTCACGACTGAAAGAGAGATGAGTCACGAGTGTGTTCAGTGGGTTTTCAGATCAGGTAGATAACACACCTTTACTCACCTGGAGTGAGAGCCAACAACAACCCCCCTCACCCAGACAGCTGCAAGGGGGACACTGATTCAACATGACTGAACTCACTGAGATTAACGCACATTATATTAGTAACTAAACATTTGTTTATTTTCAGCATTGTTTTACGTACAGCTTTGATTCACTTACCAGGAGCTTGTTACTGTTGAGTCTCTGTGCTGTCTTTGTCTCAAAGTAAAGCGAGGTGGAGGTTGTCGTCCTGTACGATTGATCGCCTGTGTGTGTTTTTTAGGTGGTTCCCGTCGGCAGGTCAACGGCACTCCTCAGAAAGGCTTCATGAGACCAGAACATCTTATGGAGGGCAAGGTGAGTAGAGTGCTAGGAGTGGCTGTGTGTGTGTGTGTGTGTGTGAGAGAGAGAGAGAGAGAGAAGCCTCATACAGTAAACACCCCCCCCCCTCTCTGTTAGGCACTTCTTGAGACCATCTATACCAGTGGTCTGTTGTGTGAGTTACCAGTTGGGCAGTACAACATTCCAACTTTATCCAAACTGCAGGGGTATTGTATGTACCCACCCATCAGGCAGGATGACCTGAGTATGTGTGTATGCGTGCTGTGTGTTGCAATTAGCATTTGTATAATATATGTTTGTATTTTTAATTAACTTGTTTAAACAAAAGATGTAAGGCATGGACGCTACTGAAGTCAAATATATAGGATAGTCAACAAACTAGATTCTTCATATATGTTTAGGCCATTTTTTTTTTTTTTTTTTTTTTTTTGTTTTGTTTGTTTTTTTTTGTGTTTTTTTTTCTTTTTTTTTGTTTTCGCTGTTGAGTTATTTTAGTATCTCTCAATGCTCTCAGCTATACACTCCTCTCTTGTTGGCCCGTTGTGTTGTTTTTACCAACTTCTGAGCTCCGATACTTTTTTGTATGACCTGTATCAAATGTACAGGGTTACGATTCAATATATTGCGATTTTAAACAAATAAAATTTTAGGAGATCTTTCATAGTATAAATAACACACAAATCTGACTTTTCTTTATCACAGTCCCTGTAACATCCAACATCATAGCCCTCAGTTTACAACACTGCTATCACAAAACAATATATCGCCATACTCAAATGTATCGATATTTTCTTGCAGTTTCCTACATGTATGCTGCATTTTCTTGTCAATCAGTTTTAATGTACTAAGAAGAAACTGACCTGAAAATGTGGCATCTTTGTGATGTGTTAGCATATGACCCAGTATGCAGCAAACTAACAAAGGCGAGGAGGCTCACCAGGGAACACTGAGTGCTGTGTTGTAGTGGTTCAAATTAAACTGAGTTGGCATGACTATCTTTAATACATGTGAATCGTCAATATTTGAATGATGAAGTCTCCTCTCTTGCTGTTGATTCACTGGCTGCTTACATGTGTTTTACTCATCAGGACCTGACAGCCATCGGAGTGACCAAACCAGGCCACCGAAAGAAGATCTCAATGGAGATTAGCAAGCTGAGCATCCCAGAGTGGCTGCCTGATTACATTCCTGTGAGAAAACCCCTCTGATGTCCCACTCGCATGTTGTAACATTCATGAAATGCAGTTGCTTCTCTTGGCTTTCTTGTAATACCACTAGTATCTAACTGATGGCACACAGTTAGGTCACGGTCACACAATTAAAACTGCTACTTGTAATTAGATAAGCATCCAAATGATTAAGAATTATGTGAATTCTTTGACTCATTGCCTCTGTCCTGTCTGTGTTTGTTGCTGCTCAGTCGGACCTTGGGGAGTGGTTGAGTGTGATTGGACTGCCTCAGTACCAGAAGAGATTGTGTGACAATGGCTACGACTCCATCACTATTGTCAAAGACATCACCTGGGAGGACCTGCAGGAGATAGGCATCACCAAACTGGGTGAGGAATGAGACCAGATTTCTTTGAAATTCAATGTAGAGTTGGTGCTCTCTCTTCACCCTCATGCACTGTATACAAGATATCTAGTTATGCTTGACAGTAGACACAGATGGTTGGATTTGTGTGTCAAATTATGATTTTAATGGTTGCATCACAAGTGTAAAACATGTTTGAAAAATATGGTTTATGGAGCTTACACCTGCTTCTCTTCTAAAAAGTAAGCAAAAGCAAACTTTCCAGTGAGGAAGACCCTTATATGTGATTGAAAGCTCCAGAAAAAGCAAGCGAGTAAAGATTTTTTTTGTCTAACTACTGTTTTCAAGGTTTGTCTGTAATTTCCACTTGTGGCCACAGAGGGCGCTGTTCTGCAAAAGTCTACTGCTGTGTGTACTTTAGTCAGGAGATTGTAATGATGCTATCTCTATTTCAGGCCATCAGAAGAAGCTCATGTTAGCAGTGAAAAGACTTTGTGACCTGCAGCGCTCTCGTAACCATGCCGACAGAGCTGGAGGCGGGACTCTCCGACGGAAGCCCCCTGCCGCCCTGGAGCTCGTGGCCATCGAACACACGCCAACACACAACGTGCATGCTCACACTCGCTCTGACATTCCTTCTGACGACTGCTGCCCCTCCCCACGCACCCCAAGGACCCTCCTCTCCTTCCAGGACAGCGAGTTGAGCGCTGAGCTGCAGAGCGCCATGATGGGCAGGGCGGGAGGAGCTGCCGAGGCGCTTGGCATCAGGGGCGTAACACCTGTGACAGCCATGTCAGTCAGTCAGGAGAGCATTAGCGTGAGATCGCGGGGATCAGGGAACTCTGGGAATTCTGGAAATTCAAATTCGGGATATTCTCACGACCACCAAGCCGCGCCGTCTTCGACCAGGACTTCCAGCCGGTCAGAGGAGAGTCTGGGGAGTGGTGTGGCGGAGGAGGCCAAGCGTGGAGGAAGCAGTCCTGGAGGCAGAGGTAGACAGAGACCCACAGAGATGTGGGAGCCGCAGAGTCGGTCTGCTACCCCCAACAAACTCCCCTTCTCCCCCCTAACACCTCCGCTAACCCCCAGCAAGATGCCTCGCTTTGCTTACCCAGCTGTCCCACCCAAGGCCAAACACATGCAGCAGTCCCCTAACCGCCTGTATCAGCCTCAGCACCACCCGCCCTCCTCCCCTTCCTCTCCATCCCCACAGCCTTCCCCCACACAGAAGGCCTTCAGTTACCTCAGCGCCCAGGCAGGAGGGGTCAACGGGGCTCCATGGGGGCTCTCCAAGCCTCTGCCTGGTGCGGTCCCTCTGCTGGGACCCCGGCCTGGACAGGGCCCAGCTGTCGAAGCCCAAAAGGGCCTGCACAAGAAGCGTGCCCAAAGCCTGACTCGCTACGCTCTGTCCGACGGCGAACCGGATGAAGACGATGACCTCACTCCCCCCAGCACCTCTTCTTCCTCCATGGCCATGCCCTCCTACGCCACCCTGTCGCGCAGGCCGGGACGCGGGCACACAAGCGCCACAGGGGCCCAACGCCACATCAACCGCAGCCACTCGTTTGCTGTGCGATCCCGACGCAAGGGCCCGCCCCCACCACCTCCCAAGAGGATGAGCTCGGTGAGTGGCAGCCCAGTACGCCAGCCGGGAAACGGAAAAGTGGTGGAGCCAGAAGTGAAGGGAGGGGTGGAGACGGAGAGCACGGGCAGTGTGAGGAGCATCACAGCCAGACTAGAGGGAGGCAGCAGCAGCAGTCCATCCAGGAGGATCGATATACCACCAACTCACGTCCATGTTTCACCTGTTTTCAGCCCCATTTCCTCCCCGATTCCACATGGGATGACTCCTCACGTCATCATACAGCACTCCAAACCCGTCCCTGCTCTGGGCCTGGCGGGCTTGAGGAGGACAGGAAGCGAGAGGACAGAAGTGGACACTGACAGACAGAGAGGTGGAGGCGCAGAAGGAACTCTCGAAGAGAAAGCAAGAAGAACATCAAAGAGCGTTACTGCATCTCCAAAGCACAGCGCCGACCACCTCCCTTTCGCTGAGGAGGGCAACCTCACTATCAAACAGCGGCCCAGGATCGCAGTTGTCCCCCGAACGGACACTGAAGTCAAGGCTCCTCCAGAGGGTCCAGTCCAGACCCCAAACAGCCTGGAGCTCCCGGAGTTCAACCTGAAAGAGTCTGACACGGTGAAAAGACGGCACAAACCCAAAGAGTCGTCGACACCTGAGGAGGCTACCACCCCCAACAGAGACGACAGCCCACAAACCAACAGCCTCCACACACGTAATGAGGGCAGTACGCTGAGCGACGATGAATCTCAGCGGCCGGGGAATGTGTTCCAGAGAGTGGGCTCCATGGGAAAAGGCCCGAAGCCTCCGGTGTCCTCGAAACCCTGCAGTCCTCTCAAACAACCCCCTCACAGCAAACCGACAACCCCCCAGAAAACAATGTCTTCAGGTCAAGCCGGTGCACAAACAGCCATTCCCAAACTAACCAGCGTACAGATTCACACAGTCTCCCCGAAGCTTGGTGGCAGCATACACACACAGACATGTATACCCAGCCCCAAACCTGTCAAACACCCACAGACGTCCAAGCCAGAGAGTCCACAGAAAACTGCTGGTTTGTCTGTATCAAGACTCCCTCAGCCCGGCACGGCCTCGGCATCAACGGCAGGTAACGCTGACCAAAGAACTCATTTTGTGACTATATCTGCATCATTTAAGAAACTGCTTCAAAATGTTTTAGTTGTTTTTGGATGATGGATGAATCCACACTTCTTGTCCCTCAGGACCCAACCTCACCGTGGTCCAGAGTGTCGCGTTTGCTGCTCCATCCTCTCCGGCTCCTTACCCTTCGCCCCCCACCTCGGCACCACTGTGTCAGGCAGGGAAAGCGGGGACCCCCCTGGTTGGCGTAGCCGGTCTGGAGGTGTTGGCTCAGAAGAGGCTGGAGCAAACCAGTACGTCACTGGAGGCTGCTCTCAAAGTGGTGGAGAACAAACTGGCGCAGGGCAGCAGCGTGGACGGGTAAGGATTACTGATGTAACACACGAGTGTATGGATGAGGTTTAACATCTCTTCATGTAGCTCAATATAAACAAAACATAACATTGCAAGTAGGTTTCAACAAAGCAACCGTCAGATGGCCTGACTGCTTGTGTCCCATCAGACTTTTTTGTTGCGATGTTGATGTACCCTCGACTTAATGCAGTTAGTAT